ACTGGAGAGGGTGAAACCATGCTACTCCTTGGAGGCAAGGATTTTGAAGCTCTGTCTCACATACTTTGGGCATGTGGCCAGGAGATACCAGTTCTTGGATAAGGACATCATGCCTGGAAGGGTGGAAGACAGCAGAAGAGAGGAAGACCCAGGATAAGATGAATTGACTACGTGACTAGAGAAATGGGATTAGGTCTGTTGGAGACAATGAGATTGATTTAGGATAGTGCAGGGTTTAGAGCTGTTGTACATAAAGTCACTGTGAGTCACAGGCAACTTTAACAACTAATAGCAACAAACTCAAGACTTGCATTATAGTCATTTCAGTTTTGTGAATCATCATGAACCGAACGTGGCACCATCTTAAGTGATTAAATCTCTCCTTGAGACTTTCGTTTTTCAAATTATTTTTAGTACCTTTAGCGTGAATTCAAGGGGCAGCCTTCTAATGAGTACCAGCTCGTGGTGCAAATTCTCATGAGTTGTTTTTCTCCCCTCCCCTTGTAGCAAAAGGACCCTCAGTTTTGAAATGGGTATGAGCTCCATTGTTAACAGAAAAGTTGGCAGTTTGAACCTGCCAGTGGCTCTAGGAAGAAAAAGACCAACTCCTGCTTCCACCATCTCAAAATGTACTTTCTTGGTTAAAAGAAGCAGGTAGAATTTTGAAGCCCCCTCAGACCTCTACAATTTTTTTTTTTTAATTTAGTCTTATCTTTACAGAAAAGTTCCAACAATAGTGCATAATTCTCTTTATTCAGTTTTCCCTAACGTTAACTGCTTCCATTAACGTCTTGTAATGTGCTGTCAAGTCAACTGTCACTCTGAACTCTGCCCTATCCTGAGCCAGTCTTCCTTTCTCCAACACACCTACTCCCATTACCCCAGTTACTATGTCAATCCATCTCATCCAGGTCTTCCTCTCCTGTGTCGTCCCTCCATCCTTTGGAGAATGCTATCCTTCTCCAGGAACTGGTCCCTCCTGGCCACAAGCCCAAAGTACATAAGGTGGAGCTTTATAATCCTTGCCTCCAAGGGGCAACTTGATTTCACCCTCTCCAGAACAGACCTGGTTGTTCTCTTGGCAGTCCATATTATGTTCAGTACTCTTCTCTGGTACCACGACCGAAAGCCATAGATTCTTCTTCAGTCATTTTTAGTCATTGTCCAGCTCTCTGACACTTTGCAAATAATTATAAAGACCATGGCTTGGATTAGGTGCACCTTAATCTTTAGACTTATATTACTGCTCTTCAGCACTCTGAAGGGATCCCTGACAATATCTTTTCCTCATGGAATTTGTCTTTTTATTTCTCAACTACTGGTGCTTAGACTGTTGATTGGAGAACTGAGCAAGCTGAAGCTGTTAAAATCTCAACCAGTTTTCCATCTATCACAGTGCTGCTAATTGGCCTCGTGGTGAGAATCTGATTTCTTAATGTTGAACTACAATCCATATTGAAGACTACAGTCCTTGACCTCCTGCAGCAAATGATTCAAGTTCTCCTCAGTTTCAGTGAGCAAGGATGTGCCATCTGTATAATGCAGGATGTTGATGAGACTTCCTTCAATCCTGATGTCACATTCCTCTTCATAAAGCCCAAACGATCTGTTCTGCATATACAAACTCCTTTCCTGATTTTGAACCATGCAGTGTTTCCTTCCTCTGTTCTGAGTACTCTTTCTGGCCCAAGTACAGTTCTCCTATGTGTACAATCATGTGTTTTGGGATTCCCATTCTTCATAAAGTTCACTACAGTTTGTTGTGATCCACACAGTCAAATGCCTTTAAGTAGTCAATGAAATGCAGATAGACATTCTTCTGGTACTCACTGCTTTCAGCTAAGAGTCATCTGACACTGCTATGATGTCCTTAGTGCACTGGCCTCTTCTAACCCAGCTTGTATTTCTAGTAGTTCTCTGCTGATGATGTACTGTTCCAGTTGTTTTGGAATGATATTCAGCAGAATTTTGCTTATGTGTGATATTAGTGATATTACATTTATCAAAACTAATGTCTCAGAACTAATGTTCCATGATCCAGGCTAGCATGCCACATTTGCATTTAGTAAAATTTGGTTGTAAGATTTTCTGCTTATGACCCCATAGCACACAGGGTGGGCCTTTTACCTCCCCTCAATGAGGACACAGGTTAGAAGTGCGCACCTGATCCCTGACTTCCTCTCCTGCTATAAAGTGGGTATAGCGACTTCTTAGGACCTTGAAAAATCATCTCTTTGACCTGGGATAGGACCCTGGTAGTGTAGTTATTGGCTGCTGTTTGAACTCATGAGCTGCACTGCAGGAGAAAAATGGCAGCTTCAGAGATTCACAGCCTTGGAAACAGTGCAAGGCAATTCAGCTCTGTCCTAGGAGTCCTGCCGCAGCAACAAGACAAGTCCCAGACCTACTCTCATACCAGATGCTAACTCCTCTAAAGGCTTCCCAAACAGATAACTATCCCAGCACATTCAGGAGAAAAGATGGAAGAGGAGGCGGATGAGAAGAAGATGAAGAAAGAGAAGGAAAACAAAGGAGAAGAAGAAAAGGGAACCTCCGGTCTGTAAGGAAAAGTGTCTGAATTGCAGGTGGCCTGAATAAACTTGGAAGTGGATTCATTTCCCAGAGCCCTACCAATGTCTTGATTTTGGCCTTGTTATTCTATACCAGGAAGCTGTCGTCAGAACAGAGCAAGGAAACATTGCATGGTTTTTGCATAGCTGAGTCATGCTAGACCTGATCTTTTGCCCTATAGAACTGTGAACTAAAAAAAATTATTTTAGTTTATTTTGGCTGTTAAGTAAAAAAAGAAATTTACATTGCTTTTCTGCTTTGTGTGTGCTTAGAGTTTTAAAATAATTTAAGCCTCAAGTCAAAATATTGAAATATGCTATAGGAAATATATTGAATGACCGAGAAAACATCAGATGAAGATGGAGTGAATACACAGAAGCATTTTATCAAAAAGAACAGACTGACAATGAATAATTTCAGGGAGGACCACATGAGCAGGAACCATTGGTAATGAAGGAAAAAATGAAAGCTGCATTGAAGGAATTTGCAAAAAATTAGGCCCCGGGAATTTATGGCATAGCAGTTGGCTTGTTTTAATTAAAAGATGCAGCCCTGGATGCAGTCTATACTCACCAGTCTATACCAGAAAGTTTGAAGAACATCTCTCTGGCCAATGGATTGGAAGAGGTCCATACTTGTTCCCATTCCCAAGAAAGGTGATCCTGATAAAATGTGGAAATTATCATTCATATCACATGCAAGCAAAAATACTACTGAAGAGCATTAAAAAATGGCTAGAACAGTACATAGATAGGGAACTACCAGAAGTTTAAGCAGTATTTAGAAGAGGCCATGTCACCATGAATATCATTGCTGATGTCAGATAGAGTCTGGCTGAAAGTAAAGATATAAGAAGAATGTCTATTTGTGCTTTATTGACTATGCAAAGACATTTGACTGTGTGGATCATAACAAGTTATGGATAACGTTGAGAAAAATGGGAATTCTAGAGCGCTTAGTTGTACTCATGAGAAACCTACACCTGGATCAGGAGATTGTTGTATGAACAGAGCAAGGGAACACTGCATGGTTAAAAATCAGGAAGGGAGTATGTCAGGGTTGTATTCTCTTTCCATATCTATTCAGTCTACATGCTGAGCCAATTATTTGAGAAGATGGGACTCTGAGAAGGAATGTGGCATCAGGATCAGAAGGAGACTTATCAATAACCCGATACAGCCTGTTGTTGTTGTTATGTGCCATCGAGTCGTTTCCGACTCATAGCGACCCTATGCACAACAGCTCTAAACCCTGCTCTATCCTGCGCCAACCGCACCGCCTCTGACACACCCATCCCGATTACCCCAGTCACTGAATCAATCCATCTCATAGAGGGTCTTCCCCTCCTGCGCTGTCCCTCCACCCTCCCAAGCATGATGTCCCTCTCCAAGGACCCATCCCTCCTGGCAACATGTCCAAAGTATGTCAGACGAAGCCCCAGAATCCTTGCCTCCAAGGAGCAGCTTGGTTTAATCCTCTCCAAGATGGATCTGTTTGTTTTCCTGGCAGTCCATGGTACATTCAGTACCCTTCTCCAGCACCACAGCTCAAAAGCATCCACTCTCCTTCTGTCCTCCCTAGTCATTGTCCAGCCTAGCTTGCTGAAAGTGAGAAGCACTTGAAGCACTTGCTGCAGAAGATCAAAGAATGCAGCCTTTAGTATGGGTTGCATCTCATTGTCAAGAAAACAAGAGATTCTTGCCACTAAACTGATAGGAAACATCATGATAGAGAAAATATTGAAACTGTCAATGATTTAATCTTGATTGGATCAACAGTTAACACCCTTTGTACCAGCACTCAGGAAATCGGAGATGTATTGTACTGGGAAAGCCTACAGTTAGGAATCTCTCCAAAATGTTGAGGAATAATGATGTACGTTTGAAGACTGATGTAAAACTGATTCAGACCATGGGCTTTTTTATCAGTTGCTATGCAGCTGAGAGCTGAACAATGAATAAGAAAAAAATGATGCCTTTGAGCTGTGGTGTTGGTGAAGAAGCATTGAATATTCCATGGGTGGCCCAAAAAAATGAGCAGATATATCTTGGAGAGGGTGAAGCCAGAGTGCTCTTTGGATACAAGGTTGATGAGCCTTTTTGCCTCACATACTTCAGGCATGTTGCAAGGAAGGGCAATTTCTTGGAGAATGACATGATGCTTGAAAAGGTAGAGGGTTGTCGAAGAAGAGGAAGACCCTTGGCCAGGTGTATTGACATGGTGACTGCTGCAATGGGCTTTAATGTGCCAGAAAGTGTGAGGATGGCATAGAATAAGACAAAGTTCTGATTGGTTGTTCATAGGGTCATATTTAACTTGACGACACCTAACAATATTGCCTCCACCAACAAGAGTTTTGAATACTGTAGAATATTAGTTATTAAAATTATAAAGATATGCTATGCTTAACATAGTATGTTTTATTCCAGGTTTCCATGGCACATGGAATACAAAATTTGATCAATGCCATCAGAATGATTCACAGTGTGTCAAGGTATTATAATACTTCAGAACGAATGACATCACTGTTTATCAAGGTAGGTTGGAAGAAGTTTATCACGGCAATTTTGGAATAAATCATACATTTAAAATGGTGGGGGAAAAATAGTAATATTTCTTTCCCTAAGAGCCAGGAAAATGAATTGGAGAGTCTGAAATGGAATACTTCTGGATTTTAATATTTCCAGGATTCAAGAGGAGAAAGACAGAATGGAGTTAGTTTTAATGAAGTGTTGTGCTTGCTTGGAACCTTTGTCAGATAAATGTCTCAGATTTCTTGTTTAAATGTGGTGGTGTCAGATGCCATTGAGTTGACTCAGACTTATGTCTGAAACCTGTTCAGCAAACTGCCTTTCAGAGTGGTTGTACATTTTATAATTCCATCAACAGTGTATGAAAGTTCCAATCTTTATGTATCCTCTCCACCATTTATTGGTTGCTGTCCTGTTAAACTTTGCCACTTTTATGTTTCATGGTTTTCTTTATGAAGGTCTTTTGTGTCTCTTACTTCCTTCTCTTGACACATTTCCCTGGAGAGTAGTTCCAATAGTCTTGATTAGGGGAGGTTTCTATATCTACCTGGGTCAATCTGAGTAAGGCATGAGTTTGAAGGGATTTTTCCGTTTCGTCTGTTGTTGTTATGTGCCGTCGAGTCGTTTGCGACTCATAGCGACCCTATGTACAACAGCCCTAAACCCTGCTCTATCCTG